TTTCTTTTGCTTATGTGGTGCTGAGGAATCGAACCCAGGGCCTCATGCATGCAAGGCAAGCGCTCTACCACTGAGCCACCTTCCCAGCCCGGAAGGAATCATTTATACCTTACAACTTCCAAACATACAATTATGTCTCTACAGCTGGATCATGAAAACAGTAAGACACACTATGAGCCTAGACTAAGCACAGCAGTAAGGGCCTAAAACTGAATTGCTAAATTAAAAAAAAAGTCATCTGAAGCTGGGCACTGGTAGCTCACACATGTAAACCTAGCTACTCAGGAGGCTGAGATCTAAGGGTCTCGGTTCTAAGCCAGCCCAGATAAGAAAGTCCATGAAACTCCAATTAACCATCAGAAAACCAGAAGTGGCTCTGTGGCTCAAAGTGATAGAGTGCTATCCTTTAGCAAAAGAGCTCAGGGACAGTGCCTGGCCCTTAATTGACAAAAAAAATAATCTGATAAAAGGAGGATTGTCAGTTTGGCAAAGAAGTTATATTTTCTACATCAGCAGAAAACTAAATGACACTTATGGTTTAATTCCTTTCTAAGAATAACACTGAACTCTCTAACAGCAATTTTCTGAAAATACAAAATTTCATTGAGGTGATTCCTTTATTACTTTTCTCAGACTCATTCATTGTCATATTACCTTATCTTGAGGCAGTAGTATTAAATGTATCTTTCAGTAACTCTGAGAAAAAAGCAGGCAGGACCACTTCTATCTTTAGTGACACACACATGTGGATGTTCCTAAGTTGGTAGATTAATTGGTAGACCAGCAGCCACATTTTAATATAGGTAGGCCACTCCTCTCATTTAAAAAATGGGCATAACGAATTTGGATTTTTACCCTTTTTATAAGTCATATGTTAGCAAAGCAGGGTTTTGGGAGTCAAATATTGGGTGTCCCTCCCCCTTGCCAAACTAGGACCCTTGCAATGAAGACCAAGCCTGAGAGAAGGAGAAATAGGAATCAAGTCACTTCTACTATAGTTATCAAATAAGGCATTTGAGACTAGTTCTCTACCGTGAAAATGAACTTATATACAAAGGTTGGCAGTTGTGAGCTAGGGAAAGTCCTGGGACAAGTAGCCCTGCAGCTGTTTAGATTCATCAACAGGGCCCATGAATCATGGGCAAGAGGTCTGTCTGGACTTATCCCATGGCTGGCTTGCCAAAATATTACTAAATTAGGCTCAACCAGCCCATTGTGCTTGATGGACAAAAGGGGTTGATAACACATATTTATAACTTTCTCTTTTTGTTAAAATATATTTCTTTAATCCATTTGATAAATTCCCAGAGAATAGAAACACCCTTGCGCAAATTACTCGTTTTACTATTATATGAAATAAAGTATCATTAGGAATGTAAAAGCTTCTAACTTATCTACAGAAGGACGAGGGAGGGTGTGTGTGATCGAAGCCCCTGAATCTGGAATGGGATATTGGGAGTTGGCAATATGGCAGTGCCTGACTCAATGTCTTGTTTTACTGCAAGATTAAAATATTTTGACTGTATAAGGAGTGAGAACCAGTGGGAGAGAAGGGTGACAGGAAAAGTATAAGGGTGGAGAATATGAAGTTCCTCATACACATGTATGAAAATCCAGTATCAAAACCTATTAAAATTGTTCATTAAAAGGGGGAGGGAAGAGTAACAGAGGGAGTGAATTTGACCAAAATCCACTATATGCATGAATGAAAATGCCACAACAAAATCCCTTTATGTATGGTAATAAAATGATTAAAATATTATGTTCTCAATTTGTTAGGAAACTAGGGTAACCTAGTGTCTTTCTTAGCTCTATTTTAATTACATGCAAAACATACACATCCATTTTCATAATGAAGTAGAAAACAAGAGATCCTGAGGGCTTTCATTATTAGCATTTACTCACAGCCGCAGCTCTTCAAATGTTTTTACTGAGTAGAGTGGAGAGCTGGGATCTTTTTGCAAGACTTCCACTCGGTGACTGGATTCTATTAAGGACTGGCGGATTAACTTGTTTAAGAGTGAATTCGCTGCTAAATCCACTAGAAGAGCAGAAATAAAAAACAGGGACATCAACCCTCCTGAGTAGCATCTAATGAATTGCCTCTCCCACTCAGTGGTTGCCTATTAAGCTATGGAACCTACTCAAATCTTTCTTCTAGAATGAGAGTACTTAAAATTCCTTCTTTCATAAAGATCCAGTTTCTTATGTTACTGTACCACCAGCCACTAACCTTAAGCAAGCGAGCCTCTATTGCCACCAGACCCAACCATTCCTTGCCAGCTAGAAATTTTTAGCCCTCTCCTTGCATATTCTAGTTCAACTTCCTCTAAAAAAAAAAAAGAATATTCCTCTTCTGATTGGACATGACTTCTGATACTACTCACAAACAAGACTTGAAACAACAATAGTTTTTCACTCAATCGAGATATGATTCATTCATATTGCCAAAGGTGATGATAAACTGAAACAGACTGTTAGGAGATACACACAGGTAAATCTGTCTCCTACCTACGTCATCTTCATCATCGTCTTCCGCATTATCAAGAGAGGTATCTAAAAGGATAGAGAAACAATAAATGTAAAGATAAATGCTGATTAGAAATACATACTGCACGCTTCCATTTTTTTTCTTCCAGATTCTATGGTGTATATAGACAGAAAGAGTCATCTAAGTGCAAGAGTAAAGTGGGAAGATAGGAGAAGGTCATGAATGTAACTTTAAGGGAGCCAAAGGTAGTTCAGCTGGCAGGTACATGATGAAAGTAATGGTTGTTTTTTTTTTAATTAACTGAGGCCAGTCTGCTTTATCCTAACAACACTCACCTATATTTGGGACTGTGGTACTCTTAATACCCCGAAGGTTCTTCCGGGGGTGGATGAGATTTGAAAACTATTAAAAGACACAAATTTCAACCAATATTAGGAAGCAAGCCATCAAGCAGCCCAGTGCTCCCCTGTAACAGGGGCTGGAAGGGGTCAGGGAAAAAAAACCAAACAAACACCCCAGAACTTTTTCCTTTGCAATGTCCAGTATTTCCAAATGGGTCTCCTGTATGAATCATATTAATAAAAAAGAAAGGAGGGGGAGACTTTCTGTCGTCCCTGCACAAGAATTTCCTCCTTGTAAGGCCTCTAGCTTAAATGAAGGCAGTGCTGGGGGCGTGGAGGTGTCTCAGCACCCAGAGGGGTGGCGGCTAGGGAAGCAGCGTTGGCAGACAGGATGGAAGGCCAGCTTTGGTCGAATCGGGTGAACAGAAAACTCCAGTAGAGTCAGGACCAGCAGCTCCTCTCCCTCCCTGGAGGTCCAGGTGTCTCCATTTTCCCCTTTCAAACCCCAAAGGTCTCCTCTCTGGGCATCTCTGCGGCCCTCTTCCCAGCGCCCCCCCGACCTCCCCACCCCACCATTTAACACCCCCATTCCAAACACTCGCCGGGCTCGCCCTCTTCCAGCACATTCCCCCCCTGAGGGTCCCAGGCCCAGCCGTCCTCCCCGCCACCCCCCCCAGCCTCCAGCCCCCCCCCCCCCCCCCCGCCAACCCCGTCCCCTCTACCCTCCCCTGCTCGGTGGCGGTTACATGGCTGTTCAGCCGCTCGTTCTCCGCCGCCCCGGCGTCGCCTCCCCAAAGTAACGACGCCATAGCTGCTATGCCAGCGCCGCCGCTCCCGCCCCCAGCACGTGCTTCCACCTCAGGCGCGAGGCCGCGCTCGGCCCGGCTCAGCGGCCAATGGGATCGCGCAGGGGGCCGGCTTAAACTCCGCGGCCGCCCACGGCGCGGCGCGCGCAGGCGCAGAGATCCTTCTCCTCCGCGCGGAGGGGGCGGAGGGAGCGGAGAGCGTGGACAGCACGGGGACGTGCAGGAGCCCCCGCGAGTGCGTGCGGATGGGTCCGCGGGTTTTCGGTTCCGGCAGCTCCTCCGTCTCTCCTCTCCCTCCCCTCTCCATCAGCGGCCGCTGTTTGAGGAAGGGTGCAGCGCTGTCTTCGTGAACCGTTGCCACCTGGTGACCTCTGTGCCAATCCCCCCCCCCCCGACAGTTCTCCCGGTGCCAAGGCCGCATCCCACTCCCTGCTTCAGTTCCCGGCCTCTTCTGTGCGCCGGACATCTTCGGCTTGCACCTTAAGATGCAAGCAAGTCTAGCAAATTGCCTGGGAAAGTGGAGGGACCGCAGCACACACGGACACTAAATTGGGTTTGATCTGACGAACGAACTCGAATGCGAACGTTGCGGAACGAAGGTAGAGCTTAATTTCCGTTCCTGGCCTAGATACTGGGGGTATTTACCATACACTGGCTTATTTGGATTTCCTCCTGAGATGTGGCCCCGTGTGGAAGCACCCCGAGAAAATAGGTACAACCTTACTCGATTACATGCATTTATTTACGTCATCGGGGAAGAGCCCTTAGAATTATGCCGAATTTGAGGAAGGAACCTGATTTTTTTGTCTTTTTTTTAAAACTGGAATTTTGAGAGGTCAGTATTTCTGGAATTGGGGAGAGAGAGGGGAAAAAAACCTCAGAAAACAAGAACAGTGGTCATGATCTCTCCGTGGTGCTGAAGTAAGAGTCCCCAAGTTCCGGTCCCTCGCAGTCAGGCTCTTGAGCTTGTTTTGAGTTTGTTTTGAGGCTGTAATGTTTACGTTTAGCCTTTGCATTTTACTAGTATGTTTGTCTCTCAATGAGAACATCTAATTAAGCTAGTTATCAAATCAGACCAAGAACTTTAGTCTCATAGCAGACATTGGAAAATTACCTCTTTCCTGCTATGTTAACGCAAAACTAGAATTTCTCTTTAAATTTTTGTTGTCGTACTGTCACAGGCTCCAGACTGTGCTTGTCGCGGGGGTGGAGAAAAGGTGGGCGCGATAGGAAACCTCCGGTGCTGTGGGTTACAGGGTCCAGAGGACACTGGCCTCGAAACTACATTTCCCACAAGCCCCGCTGCATCTCCCGTGAAGCCTAGCGCGCACGCAGGGGACGCTCAGGGAACCGGTTCCGGTGCGGAGCCAGGCTGCGCGGCCGGTCGGGGAGGTGAGTGTGAGGAGTCTGCGAGCTTGGTGGGTGCAGCTGCGGAGCGTTACGGTGGATGAACAGCTGAACGGGTCTCTCCCCGTCCCCCTTCCCACCTCCGACACGTTGATTGTTGCAGGAAGTAGATCCTGTGTGTTGTTTCTGTTGCGCCTGGTTCTTCCGGGACTCCAGGCAGAGAGTTCCCCGCCGGGCCCCGGTGGGCTCTGTCGTGGGAGCCTAGAGGCGCCCCGGGCCTGTGGAGTTCAGGCCGCACTGGTCAGACTCGTTTGTCCGGAAACGTAGCGGAAGGACGTGGAGTTTTCGATTCTTTGGGGAGGGGGGAAGAGGGGATTGTTTCACATGCCACAATTTCAGTATTGACCACGGCGTACGTCTCCCAGTCCATTGACTTACGAGAAAATATACAATTTTTGCCGATTTCCTTTTAAGGTACCCGTTTTTATCTTCAAAAAACTTCTGAGCGCTTGGTGATGGCTATTGTATAGTGTGCTTAGCACACACAAGAATTCGCGGGGCGGTCCTGGCACGTGTTAGATGACTAGGAACTCCTGTTTCACCCTGCTAAGGGTAGGTGTACTGGGGGGCCAAGGAGGTCTGAGTAAGGAGCTGTGAGCTCCTGTTCTTTCAGTTTGTTCCATGACTGGACTCGCCCCAGGTTTAATTTTGTTAGCACGTTAGGTTAGGATACTCACTTTTCAGGATTTTTCGATAATTTGGACTTTTGAGATTCAGATAAAAAAATCACTTAAACTATTTTAAAAAATTATCTTTGTACTCAGAATTGGGTTTTGTCCCAGTACTTTACTATGACTGAGATCATGCTGTATGGATTGCAACCAATTTGCTTCACTTTAAGTTTACCTTTTCCCATATTAGTTCCCTAGGTAATTCTGTTGTCTCAACAGACATCATTGATGGACAGTTTTTAGTTGGAAACATGCCCTGTGCATAAGGTGTCACTGAATACAGTTCTAAATGCTTAGTGAAACTGAGTTGAATAAGCATTATGTAGTCTCAAATACTATATATATATATGTGTTGGGATGAATCATTCATGTGTCCATTCGTGTCTTCCTAAACAAGCAGACTGTTTATTCTGTCATTCTTAAGACTCCAGATTTTAGATATCCTTCGCTACATTAGAAGTAGCAAAAATGGAAGTTCCATTATAAGGAGAGAATTCGTGATTTCATCTCTACCTAGTCTAGATTAATTTCTTGTTTTTTTTATACATTGTGATGCCAGATATATTTGGAAGGGTTTTGTTTTTTGACAAACTGAGGTGCTAGGCTCATACTCACTAAGCTTACTTGCTTGCTATTTGGAGTCATACCTGTAGTCTGGCTTTTTGCTCCTTGTTTTGGAGATGTAGTTTCTTTTCTGTATGATGCAGCATCAAGTTATGATCCTCCAGATCTCAGCATCCTGAGTAGCTAGGATTAAAGGTTTAAGCCACCAGTGCCTTCCTGTATTTTAAATTTCTGATGCAGTGTAGGAACAGCCTTTAAGTGATAAGACATAATTCCAAAGAAAATCTGTGGTGAATTATAAAAGATATGGTATTCCAGAAGTGAGAAGTGATAACTATGGTTGAGAATAGAGGGAAATATGTTACTGAAATAATCCTCAAACAAAATGTGGGTAAGAATCTTTCTAATGCTTTGGGGCATCTATTTAAAAGCATTTTACATAGTTAACTAGACTTGCTTTAGTTATGGGGGCTGTCCTTTAGGACTGTAAAAAGCAGGGTTTTGTTCTTTGCCCTTGGCTCATTTACATGGTGTGAGTGCAGTGAATAGTCATGCCCTTGTTTTGAAATCATCTTCCTTTGGAACCTGTTTAATAGAAATAAGACTCAAGTTCATTAACTTCTAAAATTCTTTAATAGATGAGCTCATTGCTCACCAACTGTAAAAACACACTGAAAAGCAGTTCTCATTGGCCCATGGTAAAAAGGTTATCAATAGAAATTGTACTTATGAACTAGACAGAATACAAAGACCAGGGAGGCTTTTCTTTCTCTGGCATGATTCTCTTGCAATTGCTGTATTTAAGAATGGAAATTCAGAAACTGAGGGATGTCTCATATTTATGTGATAATACAGCTAAGAAAGACCAGTATGTAAAATTCTGTGCTTTTTGTTGTTTTCAATTTAAGAGATATTAAGAACCAGGCTATCCTACTCAATCCTGTAGACGGAGAGACAGGTAAAAAAGACTTAAGAAGGAAAAAGAGGGAAGGGAAGTTTCTTAGGTATAACACCACTTGCAAGATCACAACGCACACCCCAACGAAGTGCAGATCTTTTCTTCTCAGTTGGCACTAAGTAATTGTTTGGAACATATACGTGTTGAGGCTTGGACTGAGGTTCCGTTCTGGAAAGCATCTGTTCTCTGACACCCCAGCGTAGCTCCTTCCTTTGATCTTCACCAGGTAACCGCATTGTGTCCCAGTCCCTTTTGTACTCAAAATATCGGGCTACCCGGTCTATCTTGTTCCGGTTTCGACTTAACTGGTCTAGCTTTGGGAGAATAAAAGACTTAGGTCTGCTGGCAACCATCAGGTCTTGTTCATAAACTGGTGGGCTCATTCCTGCTCTTTGTAAATAGCAAAGCAACTGTTCCTGGGTAATTCCTTCATCTTCATCTGGTAGATTAAGTTTTTGTGAAGTACTATCTTCAGATTCCCTGTCTTCTTGAAATTGCAGATTCATCAACCTTTGTCTTAAGTCCCAGAGATTCAGATCACTTTCTATGCTGCTGGCTGGCACAGAATCACTTTCTGTCTCACTGACAATCGACTCATCTGTCACTTGGACCTCCCCTCCTGGTTTTCTACGTAGCACCTTTCTCTTCATCACTGGCTTTCGGAGCCTTTGAGAGGCCTCTGAGACTGTGTCCGAAGTGACCTCACTTTCTGTGTGTTGGTACTGTGATTGCACAGGAAAAGCAGGTCTCTTTCCTGAAGTTACTGAAGCTTTACTGTAAGGATCATACTGGATAGACTGGGCATCTCTCCCAATATCTCCCTCACCCTGCCCTGCACAGATATTGGTAAAAGCTGTAGCAGCTGCTAACATTCGTTCTTCTGGGTCCATATCAGTCCATTTTTGTCCATCAGGTCCCATGAGTTGCTCCATTGCTTTCTTTACACTGTAGGTCTGCCTGTAAGATAGAATACTTATCAGTTTTCTGACACATTTCCATTTTACAAATTGCTCATTCTCATCTCAATTTTAAGGAGTCATACTGAAAAAGAAAGGCCAGTGTACTATAAACCCAGTAATTTTTTTTTTTTTGGGTCCGGTCGTGGGGCCTGAACTCTGGGCCTGGACGCTGTCCCTCAGCTCTTCAGCTCAAGGCTAGTGCTCTACCACTTGAGCCACAGCGCCACTTCTGGCTTTTTTCTTTTTGCTTATGTGGTGCTGAGGAATCGAACCCAGGGCCTCTTGCATGCAAGGCAAGCGCTCTACCACTGAGCCACCTTCCCAGTCCCAGCCCCCAAACCCAGTAATCTTAACAGATAAAGACTAACAGGATAGTGTGGGAGTTGTTGGTAGGGCACTGATGAGCTCCAGGCAATCAATCCATTAATTGCTTTCATCTTCATTATCTTCTTGCTCATTCCCACTTCCTATTGCTTTGCCACATTTAGTAGCTCTAGAAAGGTAGGTTATGACATAAAAACTTGAGAACATGTGCTGTAGGGCATAATGCTTAGGGTACATTATGCAACAGGTGCTTAGAAGGTACTATATGTACCTGGCGTTACTCTGTGTGGTCACAATTGTAGGATGAGATCTTGAGTAAAATAATGCATCAGGGAGCTAAATAACTTGCCTGAAGTTACACAGCCAGTAACTAAGAGAGCTGAAATTTTGACTCAGGCACTTGGGCTTCAGAATGACTTAACCTGAAGAACCATCAAAAAAGGCAGTATTATGCTTATACTCACACACAGATGTATACATGCATATTTCCCTTTCTGTGCATCATTAATTTTAATATATTCCTAGTTGCTAAATCTATTCATTCTAGTTACCCTGCCATAGAAATAACTTTTAGTACCCAAATCAAACAGCCAAATACCCAGTGTTAGTTTCATGCCTAGAGCTGAATATCTGCTGCCTGCTATTTTTCTTTTAAAATTAAAAATCCAGCATATGCATGTAACTTAAAGCAAGGACTTCATGACTACGTTGCACTTAGGGTGTCTCTAGAATTTTTCATGTTCATATATACATTTTTATACTAAAAGCATGAAGGCCATTTGAGCATTAATAACATCATTCTGCAGAGGCAGAAAGCTGGACAGATGACTAGAAGTGTTGGAGAAGCATACATGTCTGTCTAGTCATGTACCAAATGATTTCTCAGTCTTTATATGGCCATGGGCCAAACATACCCATTCCTGCTATAAAGGAAAGCAGCACAAAACTCTGAACTCTAAAATGTTTTCAGTTCACAGCTACAGCTGTATCAGCTGGCTTCCAAATATATTGGCACAGGATTTTTTTTTTTTTTTTTGTCGGTAGTGGGCCTGAACTTGAGCCTGGGTGCTGTCCCTGAGCTCTTCAGCTCAATGCTAGTGCTCTACCACTTGAGCCACAGCGCCACTTCTGGCTTTTTCTGCTTAAGTGGCGCTGAGGAATTGAACCTAGGGGCCTCATACATGTAAGGCAAGTACTCCACCACTGTACACCACCTTTCTAGCCCCTCAGGATCATTTTAAAGTTGCACTGAATTCCAATACCTGTATCAAAAATTTTAAGTCAGTCCCTTATTAACAGCATTTACGTTTACAATCACTTATTAAAAACTTAAAACAGCTTGTAAATTTTAACATACTTGTGCAAGCACATTGTGAGGATGGGTCAAAAGATGTGTGCTCAGTTTTGACAACTATTGCCAATGTACTTACCTCTAAGGAATAGAACCTACAGTCTACTAACAGCACTCGCTTCTCCATTCCCTCTCTTCATTTTTTTTTCTTAAATGGGTGTGCTGGTTCTTTGGTTTGAACTCAGGTTCTGAGCTGTGTCCCACTTCTGGCTTTCTGTTGGTTAATTTTGGAGATACGGATCTCATGGGCTTTTCCTGCCTAGGCTGGCTTTGAACTACTTCCTCATATCTCAGCCTCCTAAGTAGCTATAATTACAGGGGTGATGTCCTGATTCCTGGCCACACAGTGGTTTTACATCAAACTCTCATCCTTGCTGCCAATTCCATCCAAGTTCTCATATACTTTTATATAACTTCAGTAAGCCTTTAGAAAATGGTTGGTCTTTGTCCATTTACCCCAGAGATTGCTGGACTTTGTCTTATTACCCTTTTGTTAAAACAGATTATATATTCATAAATACATATTAAAGCCCTTTGCCACTCATTTTACTTCTCATTCTGTTACCTTTTTTTTTTCTTTGAATAGTGCATGCTAGGCAGGCACTCTACCAATGAGCTATGTGTTTAATTTTGAAAAAAAATTTTTTTTGGTGGCAGGAGTTTTTCTTTTCAGGTTAAGCCACATTTTGAAAGGGATTCCAGATTTTTAGAGTGCTTTCCATAGAAATATGCTTCCACAAGAAAAAATTACTCTGTTTTCTTCCAGTAGTACATTTAAATAGTCTACTCAACATAAACACACAAACTCAAAGGGCAATAACCTAAATGACCTACCTAGACACAGATGACCTTGCTTTACAACAGTTGTGGAGATGATCTTCTGTAACTAAGTAACCATCAGTTACAGGTTATCTAGGACTGTTCCACTCTTAAGGATGTTGTATGGTTACTCCTCGATTATTGAAATATACCAGGAATTTTAACATCAATATCCAAATTACATCATTAGACTGACTCTTGGAACTGTTAGAAGTACAGAAATCTTTTATCAAAACATTAAATTTGGCTTTAAAGGGGGAGGGGGAGGTGTGGGGGGATGAGGGAGGATGATGCAAGAGGTGACAGATCAAAATGCATTGTACTTGTAGACTAATTTTTTGAATGGTAACTTTTGTACAGCTGCAAAGATAATTTAAGAAACAAATTTGGCTTTACAAGTTCAGTAATACATGGTTACCTTTTTTCTGTCATCAAAACTTCTTTAAGTACAGCTTGTCTCCAGCCAGGTTCTACTTCCAATGTAAAGTATAATCATTGATAATATTTCTTCAATTAGGCAACTTCTGTTGTGCCACCTCTGAAACAATAAAATATTGGATAATGTAATATGAGCCACTTAATTATCTGGAACACTGGAAAAGAACAGAAACTCAGTAATAGTTCTAAGAAGCCCATAAAAATAACTATTATTAGAAAAATTAGATGGATATGAAAATTCAGAAGGAAATGTTACAGGGGGAAAAAGGATCATCTTGGTTAATATAGAGAAATGAAATCTAGATATTTTATCTAATTTTTAAAAGTAAATTTAAAAAAAACCCTTATCAACAATAGGTGAATATTTTTCCTTCTCTCCTGTGAACTGGCTACATATAATGTAAAAGAATAATGTCTGGATGATCATCCCACACTTTAGTGCTTGTTTCTAGAATAAGCAAATACTCTGGGCATCAATAAAGATTAGAAGCTACTTGAATATAAGGATACAACACTAAAGAAATGCATACTGAAATGTATTCTTCTGTTCTCTTTTCAGGTAGGGTGGACCTCTATGATTAATTATTCTCGGGGTTGTTCTATCATGGCTGAGAATGACACAGACAGAAACCAGGTTGAGAAACTTCTAAAAAGAATACAAGAACTGGAGCAGGAAGTACAAAGACTTAAGAAAGACCAGGCCAACAACATCGGAGACTCACACATTAAAGAAAATTCTTTAGGATCTGGAAAGAGTAAGCGTACATTTGACTTCAGTGCACATGGCCGAAGACATGTAGCCCTAAGAATAGCCTATCTGGGCTGGGGGTACCAGGGCTTTGCTAGTCAGGAAAACACAAACAATACCATTGAAGAGAAACTATTTGAGGCCTTAACCAAGACGCGATTAGTAGAAAACAGACAGACCTCCAACTATCACCGGTGTGGTCGCACAGATAAAGGAGTTAGTGCCTTCGGCCAGGTAAGGACCAGGAAACTTTCTCAAAGCAAGCTATCCTATACCAGTACATCTAGGCGGCCATACTGAATGCTGAGATAATCAGTGTTTTTCTCTGATTCCACAGGTTATTTCTCTTGACCTACGTTCTCAGTTTCCAAGGGGCAAGGATACAGAAGCTGTTCATTTAAACAATGAAACCAATGATCCTGCAAAAGAGATCCGCTACACCCACATTCTCAATCGAGTACTCCCTCGGGACATCCGTGTACTGGCCTGGGCCCCTGTAGAACCTAGCTTCAGTGCTAGGTTCAGCTGTCTAGAACGGACATACCGATATTTCTTCCCTCGTGCTGATTTAGATATTATAGCCATGAATTGTGCAGCTCAGAAGTATGTTGGCACCCATGATTTCAGGAACTTGTGTAAAATGGATGTGGCCAATGGAGTGATTAATTTCCAGAGGACGATTCTGTCTGCTCAGGTGCAGATAGTGGGCCAGAGCCTGAGTGAGGAGAAGTGGCAAGAACCTTTCCAGTTATGCCAGTTTGAAGTGACTGGTCAGGCATTCCTGTATCATCAAGTTCGCTGTATGATGGCTGTCCTCTTTCTGATTGGCCAAGGAATGGAGAAGCCAGAAGTTATTGATGAATTGCTGAACATAGAGAAAAATCCCCAGAAACCTCAATACAGGTAAGCTAAACCAAACCAAACTAAACCATAAAAAACAACAACAAAAAAACTAAACTATAGTCCGTCTAGATAACTTAAGTCACTGATTCTGCCGCATGGAACTTTTAATTTGCAAAATGTTAACATGTGACTGATGGCTTCTAATTTTCTCACTGTTCTAAGCCCGATAGTGATACAACATGTGTAGGCTTCTTAGTTTTTGTAAAAGCATGTTATTACACCATCTTTTCCTTTTTCTGAATTTATGTTGCCAGGTAATTAAGTTCTGGTAAAATTAAAACATGAGGGCTGGGAAGGTGGCTCAGTGGTAGAGCGCTTGCCTTGCATGCAAGAGGCCCTGGGTTCGATTCCTCAGCACCACATAAGCAAAAAGAAAAAAACTGGAAGTGGCACTGTGGCTCATGTGGTAGAGCGCTAGCCTTGAGGTGAAAAGCTGAGGGACAGTGCCCAGGCCCAGAGTTCAGGCCCCACAACTGGGCAGAAAAAAAAAAAAAAAAAGTTAAAACATGAGTATTGAAACTATTCTTGTTGAACCTCATCTTGTTTCACTCAGTAGTCCAAGCTGCTGAAACAGAAAAGGCAGAAAATCAATTTTTTTCTTCTGAGAACAAGCTGAGGTCAGGTAGATACCATTAATTTACCACAAAGCTGTGAAAAATGCCATAAACATTTGGATAAATGCTACCATTTAAAATTGTGCAGCATCATAGGGTCGTAGCAGTATACCTCCTGATGACTTGTTACCTAATATGGATAAAATTGGCCCATAAAGGGTGTATGTATGTGAAATAGTAATAAAGTTGTTCCAGGTTAAAATTATCTTCTTAGCAGTTATTTTCTTAGCAGACAGTGGTGACTTCTCCCACCAAAGCCCCTTTTTACCCAGTTTACACCAGTTTTTAAAAGAACCAATAGACTGCTGCTATGTATTCTCATACTTCTTCTCTTTCTAGTATGGCTGTGGAATTTCCTCTAGTCTTGTACGACTGTAAGTTTGAAAATATCCATTGGATCTATGATCAGGAGGTTCAGGAATTCAATGTTACCCATCTACAACAACTCTGGGCCAGTCACGCAGTTAAGACCCACATGCTGTATAGCATGCTACAAGGACTGGACTCTGTTACCTTGCCCTGTGGGACAGGACCAGGTATGGATGATGCAACAGAATGGAAAGACACCAAGCCCCCTATCATAAAGCAGACCAGTGCCTTCATAGAAGGAATAAAAATGCGCACGTACAGGCCCCTCATGGATCGTCCTAAATGCCAAGGATTGGAATCCCGGATCCAGCATTTTGTACGTAGAGGACGCATTGAGTACCCACATTTACTCCATAAGGATGAAACAAAAACCAGAAGAGACTGTAATGACAAACTAGAGGAAGAGAATACTATTTTGGAGAAACCAACAAAGAGAGTCTGTGTTGATGCAGAAATTAAAAACATAAGTTAATCATGTATGTAGATAGAAAGTACATACAAAAAGTTTCATTGCAAGAAGTCTTAGGGATTCTGATCACTTTTTTAAGTAAAAGTAAGGCCTGATAAAGGAAATTCTGACATGACAAGACTTAAAACATTGTATTGTCACAGTCCAAAAGTATTAAGAGATGGAAGAAAAAAGTCATCGCAAATTATTTATATGTGGGCACTTATGTTCAAATTCATTATTTTTATGTGTGCCTTATGTTCAAATTCATTAAAACCTGTGGCAAGTATCATGTTTGTGGTGTTACTCCTTTCCCTGGCAATGAAATAATCACTACTCATCTTGAGTCCTCATGAAGAGCTTTGGAGTGTCTGTTTCCTAAGAGAATTTAAAAATATCAAATTCTGTCAGTTAACAGTCAGATAAACTGTTTAGTGCTAGGTGTGCATGTACCTAATTGATAGGTGTAGGTACAGGGTGTGTAAGTCTTAAGTGCAGAGGTGTGTATGTAAATGTTTCTGAAATGCAATTGTTATAGGTTGGCTCATGAGCCAGTGTTTGCCAACTCCTGGACTGTCTGTCTTAAAAAAAAAGTCCAGCTGGATTCCTGTAATCCCTAGGTACTCAGGAGGCTGAGATCTGAGTATCATGGTTTAAAGACAGCCCCATGCAGGAAAGTCCGCTAGACTACAAGTTAACCACCAAAAAACTGTTAGTGGAGCTATGACCCAAGAGATAAGATTGCTAACCTTGAGTAAAGCTTAGGGATAATGCCCAGGCCCTTAGTGCAAGCCCTAGGACTGGCACAACAAAAAAAGGTATATAAGCTGGAATTCTACACAAGTGAGACCCAGTTAAGTGGGAGAAAGAATGGGTTTTGTTTGTCTCAAAGTCACCCCTTAAAATTTATTTATAAATGTCAATATTCAGAAGTGTTTAAAGTTCTTAATACATTCCTGAATCAAAACAAAAATGATAAAAATTGCCATTATACTAGTGTTATCCAACTTTATGATGATAAGGCTCTTGTTTACCAACCAAGAAATAATTATATTTATTCCCACCTATGTTCAAGACTCCAGATGTACAATGGATTCTCAGCTCATGGTGCTAGTTAAAAAGCATATAGGACAACACAAACAACACCCAACCTAGAAAACTGATGCTAAGCCCGACAGAAGCTCAGCAGATGGACTGCACAAGTAAGGCTTCACTAAGAGTTCCAGTTTTAGGAAAATTAAGAGTGATGTGCCCATCGCTGAAGAGGAGGTGCAGTACAATGGCTTTTACATCCCAGCAGAGAGGAAACTAGAAAGTATCCCCATTTTAGAGATGGGGAATAGTGATCTTAAACAATTTAAGATTTGTCCCTGAATTTTTAAAATCTTGTTTTTAGTGTCATCACTGAATACGGCAGAATATCCTTAAACATGTAAAAACAAACCACTTTTTTTGGCCTAGCCAGTTTAAACTTGGGGCCTTGTTTTCTTCCTAGACAAGAGCTCTACACTGGAGCCACATCTCCACCCCTTTTTGCTTTAGTTTACCTTTCAGTTAGGCCTCTCACATTGCTGAGATTATAGGCATGAAACCCCATGCTTGGCTCATTTGTTGATAGATCATCTTACTAGCTTTTGGTTTGGGCTGGCCTCAAAACAGGTTGCTCAGCTGGACTAATGGATTACAGGCATGAGTCACTGCACCTGACCAAAGTTACTTTCTCAATTTCTTATTTCAATGTGCCTTGATTGGCATTAATTTTGTTTTGTTTTGGTTTTGAATAAGAAGTAAACCTAGAAAAGAAAAATAGAGTTTAAGAAATCTTTTCTCATGGGGCTGGGAAGGTGGCTCAGTGGTAGAGTGCTTGCCTTGCATGCTCAAGGCCCTGGGTTCAATTCCCCAGCACCACATAAGCAAAAAGTAAAAAAGCCGGAAGTGGTGCTGTGGCTCAAGTGGTAGAGCACTAGCCTTGAGCTGAAGAGCTGAGGGACAGCACCCAGGCCCAGAGTTCAGGCCCCACAACCGGACCCAAAAAAATAAAAAAGAACCTTGCGGGGGAGGTTTAGGTGGGGGGACGGGGGGGAGGATGGGAAGGGATGGGAAGGGGAAACAAAGGAGGAGGCTACACAATGCTTGATAAGAAATGTACTCATCTTGCCCATGTAATTGTAACCCCTCTGTATTTTCACAATCAAAAAGAAAAAAAGAAATCTGTGGGCTGGAAGCATGGAAGCATAGCTAGAGTGGTAGAATGCCTAACTGCTAAGTGTAAGGCTCTTGATTTAAACCCCCCTCCTCCCAAAAGTCAATTCTAAAACAATGACACATAGAACAAAAGCACTAAAAGCTATGTTAACAGATTTCATCTGAAGAGGCAAAAGAGAGGATCAGAGGGAGATCTTCAAGTAAAATTATTTCAAATGCTATCAAGTCCTGAAAAAGTAAGCATTTAAACTACCTCTCTCCCTTCTTCCTTCCCTTTTTTCCTTCCTGTATACCAGGGTTGAACTCTGGGCCTTGCACTCTTTAACTTAGCTTGCTTGCTCAGCTGGTGCTCTACCACTTAATGAACGGGAGGTGTTTGGACCACTACCCTCCAGGTCTCAACCTCCTGAGTATCTAGGATTACAGGCGTGGGTCACTGGGTTAGTGATTAAACTGGCTTTCCAATCTTATTATTGACAGTTACCAGAGAAATAATCAGGGCACTCAGCATAGATGGAGCAAACGAAAAGCCCCAAATGTATCTTTACGAAATTACTTGTTACAGAGGGAGTATTTAAGTGATGCAGTGTCCCCCCAAAAAACTTAAGTGATGCAGTGTCCTAGGTTTAGTTATGTACAAGTGGAAGGATTTCAAGAGTGGAATGGAAGGTATTTTTCAGTGTATAGATTCAGCAGAATTACAGAGAGGTTACTGCAGTTAGATTCCTCTACCACATAGAAGTGGGCAGCTTAAAGAATCAAGCATTAAAAAGAAAAAAGCCGGAAGTGGCACTGTGGCTCAAGTGGTAGAGCACTAGCCTTCAGTGGAAGAGCTGAGGGACAGCGCCCAGGCCCAGAGTTCAGGCCCCATGACCGGACCCCCCAAAAAAATAATTATCTTTAGCAATTACAAGATTCCGTATTATTTTTCCATACTATTTTGCTTCAAATAACATTTGTAAATATGTTATTTAAGGTTATTGTATTACAATAAATCATTCACCATGTTTCAAAAAAAAAAAAAAGAATCAAGCATTAAGCTGAGTACTGGTAGCTCACACATGTAATTCTAGCTACTTGTGAGGCTGAGCATAGGAGAATCATGGTTTGAGGCCAGCCTGGACAGAAAAGTTAGTGCGACCCCTTTCTTAAAACTATAGCTCAACACAGTGGTACACACTTGTTATCCTAAATTATGTGGAAGGCTGAGAGTAGGAGGGTCATGGTTCCAGGCCTGCCTGGGCAGAAAAGGCTGTGAAACTCCCATTTCAGCAGAGGGAAGCTGGACCAGGTTGTGCATCCCTGTGATGCCAGCAACTATGGGAAGCCTAATGTAGGCTCGGTCAAGGCTGCCCAGAAGGAAACGAGACACTATCTTAAAAATAATCAGGGGATGTTTTCACTATATTTGATGTCAGTATAACTTGTGGAGGAGATGGGGAAAAACAAGTCGTTTAAGGATACAGGTGGACCTGTTGCAACAATGAGAAGAAGTACAAGTTGTCATGTCCATAACGAGCTTTACAATGTCTGTGGGGGGGGAGAGGGGGGGAAGAAGGATTGGGACTGGGGGGGGAGGAGGGAGGCTGGGAAGGGATGTGAAGGATAAACAAAGGAGGAGGCTGCAATGCTTGGTAAGAAATGTACGCGTTATCCTGCCCATGTAATTGTAACCCCTCTGTACAGTATGTTCACAAATAAAATAAAATAAATTAAAAAAAATAATCAGGGGAAAAGAAACCAAACCAAACAAACAAACCAAGTGGCTCAGTGGTAGTGCCAGACTAGCAAGCTTGAGGCACTGTATTCAAACCCAAATACCATACAGTCATTAAAAATACTAGTCTAGCTCTAAGGGTAGTGGCCTATATATATAATCCCAGCTACTAAGGAGGTGGACATAAGGAGGATCAAATTTTGGGGCAAAAGCTCAAGATCTTACCTAAAGAAAAAAACCTAAGGGGCTGGGAAGGTGGCTCAGTGGTAGAGCGCTTGCCTTGCATGCCTGAGGTCCTGGGTTCGATTCCTCAGCACCACATAAGCAAAAAGAAAAAA